ATCCAGACCTACCGAACCAGACACCAGACCCATACCCAGACAACCGGACCATCTGGATTCCGGTCCAGATGTTCGGCCGGTTGCCATTGAAATACCCATGGCGTCATTTGGACACCCATCTTTGCAATATGCCCCTACCGGGTTGCAAAATGCCCCAGGTACTTGCCAACTTCTCCTAGGCGCTATTTCAAAAGGCCAACGCCCAAATGGGGAGGTCCAGATTGCAAAGTTGCATACCCGCCTGCCAGAGGCACAACAGAAAGATTACGGCACGAAAAGGCATTCTGCTCTACCCACATCTTTTTGGGACATTTTGGCATATATGTCAACTTATGAGGTATTTTGCAAGTTATCCCTAATAATAATCTATATATTTGTCTATCTATCTCCATCTGGGTCGTGCATGGAATAGAAGGAACTTGGAGGGTATACCATCAGTAGGGTAAGCGTCTAATTCACAATTAAATAAATGTGATACAAAACTTGGCGGGTGCGGAACTCGTGTAGCTTCCTGGGCATGCTTGGTGCCCACCACCTAAAGATAGACGTCAGGATCGCCTGATCGACATTGAGCAGAGTCTGTTGATGTTTGTAGGGGAGGGGACCTGAGGGGAGGCACAGGGATTGGTCCTGTTGGCATGGTCCCTGATGCTACCGGCTGTCCCCTAGCCGGTATCGCCCACCTGCAGCCTGCAGGTCGGGAGCAGCCCCCGCATGTTCTCTCGTGAACACGGTTCTGGCTGCTACGGGGTTTCCCGTATGCGTACAATTGGGAGTAGGCCTCCACACTTCTTAGGTTGGGAGGGCCTTAGCCATAAACAATGCCATACTGTCCACAATCTGGTACGAGACGGCCTTTTGGGCACTAGGTCAGAAACAAATGTCCCACCTGAAGGAAGCCACATCGGCTTACCTCTGGAGAAATGATCACGAGATCAAAACATGCATCAAAAGGGTGGCGTGGGCCCAGGTGGTCCAACCAAGATCAAAGGGCGGCCTGACTATCATCGATCCGGAAAATGAAATCAAGGCCCTCATATCTAGAATTATTGTCAGAATATTGATGGAAAACGACGTCCCTTGGGCTTCGATGGCTCGCATCCAAATAACCAGCCTTGCCCCTGACACAGCGCAAGACCGGCTAGTCCACTCCCTCTTATGGCTCACGAACCATGCATGGTCTATCCCCAACACACCAAGGACCTGCCACGACAACTCCCCTGCAACAGCGACAAGAACGGACCTCCGCAATGACCCCCTCTGGACCGATATCATTCAGCTATGGAGGGACATAGGTCCGAACAAGCTGCCCCCTCCGTTGCAGTGGCAGGAGATATGGAGACAGTCGTGGTTCGGCAATCTCCACATAGTCAATTCACATGGACAACCTTTTTCCATAAAAAACGATTCACATTGGCTGACATGGGCAAGAAGGGGGATTATTACACTGGGGGACCTGTGGGACATACCGACTGGCCAATGGAAGACCAAAGACCAAATGAAGCCCAGACTTCACCACATAAGAAACGTGGAAACAAAACTGCGAGAACTGCTGACAGCCATACCAACTACCTAGGCAGATGTCTTGAAGAAGGGTCTATCCACTCAACCAGGGGACTGGGTTATTCAGATGACCACCCTGCCTCTCCCCATGGTCGTCTACCAGGTGACTGCCTGCACAGAGTCCGGAACATCCCTAAAAGCATACGAGCCGACCATCCCGGGAGCCCGCGTATCCCATCTCACCAGAATCGCCCACCTGGACAAGGTGCACAACAGACCTGGCCTCACAAGAGTTCGGACACTGGAAGACAACGAAGAGGGATGGTGGGCGTATGAAGCCTCCACCCCCATATCCTCTCTCCCGTTTGACCCGAACGAATGGCAATGGGGAGGACGGACACCGCTCCCGCTGTGGACGTTCACGGTCAAAGACTGCTACAGAAAGGTGCACAACACAGTTGACAGCACAGACATTGTCAAAAACCGCTGGCAGAGGGACTCCGCCGTATCAACAGCGTCCCTTCACAACTTTTGTTGGTCACATTATACGGGAATAATGCCTACCTCTCAAAGGGCGCTGCAATGGCAGATTGTATACTGCTGCCTCCCGACCCCGGACTGGCTGGTGTCCAGATCCACACTTGAACAAAGGGACATTGCATCCCCCCTCTGTACCTTCTGTGGGATATCAACGCATAAACTGCGGGCAGACCTGGAACACTACCTCCTGGACTGCCCCATGGTCAATCAGATCTAGCGCTGGTGGGACGGAGCGTGGAGGCACCTCACAGGCATAGATCTCCCATGGAACCCAGAGACGCTGTTAATGGACCTACCCACAACTGACCAGCATACATGGTCCTCCTTCCAATCCACCCTCTTTAATTACACGCGCTTGGAAGTCCTGATGACGGCCTGGCGGGCCCGGTGCTCTCACGAACGAAGACAACGCACTTTTGGCTTCCCACAAGCCAGAGCTCACATAATAGACACAATCCGTACAAACATACATCAGGCATGGAAAAACCTCAAAGAATCTATGAAAACCATGACTGATGACTCTAAGAAAACACAACGAATCCAGAGGTTTGAACGAGAATGGCTGGACCCCTCGCGTAAGCTGGCGACTCTTGATGACAACCAAAACCTCCACTCGAAACAATGGTGGTGAGACGAAGCCGGCTGGATAAGACGGATCCTCCCACCCACCCGTAGATCCTCCCTTACAGAGCTGGCCATACCCCACCCTCCCACATCCGCCCACGATCTACCACATCATCCCCCACTCCTGACTCGACCCCCGCCACCCCTCCCCTCCCCACCTCCCTCTACCCCTCAGTCATCCCCCCCACACCTAAGCTCAGACCAGACACTCCATATATGACGCGCACAACCTCACGCCCTGTGCTGTCTTTCGTTCGGAGTGTTAGGCGTGTGGAAAGAGGCCCAGAAAAACAGCAAGATGGGGTGTGCCAAGGATTTTTGGCAATTGAGTGTGGGGACACAGATGGAACTGAAATCCCCCGTGTTGGTCCAATGAAGCAAGTCGATTGCTTTTGCGCGTCGCGAAATGCGCGCGCGGGCACGGCGCGAAAAGAGAAAAATCCGAATTCAATCCAAAAAGTATTGTCGGGCTTCCCACCGAGCCACAGCCCGTCGTTTTGAACGGAAAGGCTTTGGCACGCTCCGCCTATGTAACACCCTCGGCGGCGGACAGGCGCGGCTAAGTCTGCGGCCGCGGCCGAGTCCGCGACCCCGCAGACGCGGCCGCGCGAACGCGCATCTTCGCTGACGCGTGGCGGCCACTGTGGAAGGGGATTTAGGAATCGGGAAGCGCCACGTGGCGGCGCAACCCCATCAGGCAAAAAAAAACGAAAACAATCAAATTTTTGGTTGGGGGGGTAAGGGCGAAATCGAAAAATATAGAAAAAAAACACGCGTTTTTTTTTGTTTTTTTTTTTTTTCCCGTTGATTGATTGATTGATTGATTGGGTGATTGATTGATTGGTTGGGGCGGGGTCACCTCGCCCCCCTTTGATTGATTGATTGATTGATTGATTGATGGATGGATGGATGGATGGATGGATGGATTGATTGATTTATTCAATTTTGCTTTTTTTTTTTTTGATTGGTTGATTGATTGATTGATTGATTGATTAATTCGCGGGGGAGGGGTCGCCCCACCCCCGCGACCAGGGGCACACACACACACACACACACACACACACACACACAC